ACAAAGAACGCTACTGTGACTGCGTATCTTCTGGAATCTTAGCTCGATTCAAGAAATGTCGTCTGCTGTTTCACAAGTATTGTGTGTTTGCCAGGGTTGAAATAGAATTAGAACGCACTATTCCGTGATTCGACGTGACTATTTGATATTAGAGAGATTAAGCATGACGTTACGTCAAACGGCAAACGGCAAAAATGAAACTTTTGGCTTCTATCTTCACCTGTCTATACAGTAGAGCGAAAATATTTGTATTTGCGGTAAATAGTAGGGGACATTTTTCTATTTTTGTGTGATTTATTTAAGGATTACAAGAAAAGAATAAAAAATCAGATGCAATCTTTGCTGTTTGCTGTCTGCCGTAACGTCATGCTTAAACTCTCTAATTAGATTAGTTCTTGTTTATCCGTGAAATGAAAATTTACCTTTTGAATAAGACAAAATCGTTCCTCTTCGACTTTTCAGCAGATAATTAACTTTTATATTCCATTTATCTCCAGTAGTGAGTTTAAAAAATACACATCTTTCTTATATTTTCGTGGAAACAAAGGTATCTTGTTGCATGCGTTGGCGAGGAAAACAAAAGTATCAAATTACAAACGTTGGCGTGAAAAGTAATGTTACAAAATGAACGAAACTCAAGATAACATACCACAATAAATTTAAAAGCGTCTCGACAAACGGTAATTTAAGATATTTCTGGGCAAAAAACAAACATGAAACATACACACTCCTAAGATTATGTCTTATCAAGTTTTTGTCCACTCATATTCTGCAAAGGGGAAAAGGCCTAGTTGACTACCAAGCGAGAGAACAGCAGGGGTGAGGACCTGTGTGACTACTGAATCAGAGCCGTAAATTACACTCTGCATTATCTGAGATTATCTCACTAATTAAATTTAACTCCACTTTGAACGTTCTATGACAGTTAAAACAGAAAAAAAGACAACGTTATTTTGATACACTATTCGTTTACATTTCTACTTTGCTGTTGGTTGTCAGCTCCCATTAGCTAGCAAGCCTGTCTAGTGTCTACCGAGTGCGAATATGAAGGCTTGATTACCAGCTGCTGATGGGGAGGTTTCCATACAGAAAAGTCATTACAGCGGAACCCAGTTGATACGGTCACCTCGTTATTACGGCCACTTTTTTTGTCCCAGCGAAATCCCCATAAATTTACTTATAAGAAAACCCCGTTAATGCGACCACCCCGTTAATACGGCCGACGGCCACATTCTAAAATAACACCCTGTATAATCCTTTACAATTTTATCCCGTTTGTATGGCCACTCGAACCAGTTATGTTCATCTTTCCAATGAAAAAATGGTATGAACTGATTAAAAAAAATTATATCTGCATTCCGCATGCTTGTTAAAGAACAGTTGCTTAGAAGAGCAATTGTGATATATCTGTTAAGACGTCACTCAATTAAGACCAGTCATGAAATTTGATCCTACACCGTTAATATGGCCAAATTTTCATGGCCCATTGGTGACTGTACAAACGGAGTTTCACTGTAGTTCAAAAGGTTTTCTTTGCGGAAACGTATTTTTTCGTATAAAAATCGCCAAAATTTGTAAGCTGCCCTTCCATTCCCACATCAGGAGACGATTGTATCCCAACAGAAGCAAACATGTATAAATTAAGCGGGAAGGACTGGGTATGGCGAGTCCATTTTTGGACGTTAGTAGCAGGT